TGCTCCCCCGAACAATGCTAATTTTGATTTATTAGTAAAAATCCTTTTTTCTCATTTTATTGTTTGCAGTCCTTTTCGTTTGGTTTCCTCTTCTTAATACCGGTTTTTGAGAATTTACTAGTCTATTAAGACCACTTTTTACTAATGTGTAACTTACTGCTCTGGGATAACATACACATACGTATTTGCAGCAAAGTAATTTTACCGAATCTAAATTTTCCGTCGTTTACTGTGAAAAGAGTACACGCTGAAATGCTTAATATAACTTTTGGAGAGTTTCGGTTTGTTACTTCAACCACGTTTATTGCTAACAATGTCACTTTCAGAAACTCTCTTCACAGTCTTGCGTAGAACTCTCACAGAAATATATTCTCGCTACAATTTCTTACATGGAGTATCCTTGAACACCCCAAAAAACTTTGGTTTCTATATAAGTTTGTCATGCGATATCTCATTTCAGCAGTGACAGACATTACTAGATTCACACTACTACTAGGTTTCTATACACGTTTGTCATGCGATGTCTCATTTCAGCAGTGACAGACATTACTAGATTCACACTACTACTAGGTTTCTATACACGTTTGTCATGCGATGTCTCATTTCAGCAGTGACAGACATTACTAGATTCACACTACTACTAGGTTTCTACACACGTTTGTCATACGATATCTCATTTCAGCAGAGACAGACATTACTAGATTCACACAACTACTAGATTTCTACACACGTTTGTCATGCGATATCTCATTTCAGCAGAGACAGACATTACTAGATTCACACTACTACTAGGTTTCTATACACGTTTGTCATGCGATATCTCATTTCAGCAGAGACAGACATTACTAGATTCACACTACTACTAGGTTTCTATACACATTTGTCATGCGATATCTCATTTCAGCAGAGACAGACATTACTAGATTCACACTACTACTAGGTTTCTACACACGTTTGTCATGCGATGTCTCATTTCAGCAAAGACAGACATTACTAGATTCACACCACTACTACTACTAGGTATCGATAAATTGGTGGCATTTTCCATTCAGACCAAAGAGTCTGAAACAACCCCTACCAAAAATAATAACGATGTTCAGTGGAGTATTTATCGTAGACCAAGATTCATTAAGTTTGGCCTTAAGTTACACCAAGAATCAATAAGTTTGGCCTTAATTTAGACCAAGATTCATTAAGTTTGGCCTTACTTTAATGATCAAGAGAATTTCTTTTACGTACAGACTTCTCTCTTTATTACTTTTGAAAAGAATCTAAATGCTGTACAATGTATCATTACGTCACCATCACAAGTATTATGATCTCTTATGCTAGGTTTGTCTCCAATTATCAGATTTGTATCTTAGCACTCAAACGTATTTTGAGCCCTATGGTGGTAGATCCAGAATCTGTACCTTTATTCTGCTTGTTTGTATGTACGACCGTTACGCTTCTGACCGAGAACCTGCTGTATAAGCATGCGTAATTAGAATGTTTCCCCAAGAAAAACCGCGCATGCGCATTATTCACTCGACGACAAACAGTCTGCCTGCGGCAGAGAGCTGCAAAGCTGAGTGATCAAGTCGCTGCAATTGCTGTATGAAACAAAAAATAACAACAAAAGGGGAATGTAAATATACTTTATTAACCATTTTGTACAACAGAATATTAAAAACGTTTTAAAAA